AAATAATCTGAGGATTTCACTTAGAGTGTTGGTAAGGCTTCAATGCCAAGAAATATAAAAATTGACAACATGAATTAATTTTGCAGAAGACACAGCCTAAGGAGAACTCTGTTGCTAACAAAACCCCCTCCTGACCCCAGACATTAACATGAAATCAGAAGCTATAGGAGTAACGACAGCCGAGGGACTTAGAGAGAATGCAAAGTACGAGGACTCAGGCCAGCAGCGGACTTCCAACACAGAGCCCAGAAAAGAAATTGAGACCCAGAGGAATGGAAGAATATACTAGGCAACTGGGGTGATTTGAGATCCCAAGATTGACCCTGACATCAATGCCTATTATATACATAATCTGAGTCTCAGAGATGGTAAGTGACTTGCCTGTGTTTGGGAGCAGGCAAGGGTTAGAATCCAAGTTCCAGTTCCCCTGGGGGCGGCGGGAGTGGTGCTCCACATAGCTAGATGGACAAAGTCCTGCTCCAACAGATGAATGAACAGCTCCCCCCCCCCACCTCTGGAAGCAAGAAGTGAGATATTCCTATTCCTGGACACATTTGGGGGTGAGCTAGTGCTGGCATCTAGCATTTCCCCAGATTGTCTTAGGACAAGTAGGTTTCATAAACCTGGAAGCTGGGAATGTCACTCAGACTGTTTGGGCTCCAAAGTCTGCTTTCCCAGCATACAGAGGTTAGCTCTGGCTGAGGAGTGTCTAAGCCCAGCCCCATAAGCCTGGAGCACTTGGGTCAGGCACTGGAGAGGGAAGAACAACCTCTCCTCTAGAGTAGGAGAGCCCAGAAATGGCTCTAACTGGGTGATGGGTGAATTGACCAGAACCACCACCTGCAGCCTAGGGAAGCTTTGTACAAGTTAGAAACAGACCCTTCTTCATTGAGATACTTTACCACCTGACATCTGCCAGAAAAGCATAACAAATATATTAGTCTACAATGAATAGGATATGAGCAGAATGCCCTGGAGGGCAGAGGGCACATCCAGAACAATTGAGTGAGTCAGCCTGTGAGCCTTGGGATATGAAAGAGTACCAGCTGTGCAGGTATTGTTCCTGAAATCAGCAGTGCCAAAGATAGTCTAACCCCAGAATATCCTTGATGGTGTCTGGGCTGCATGTACTCTGCCTACATGGGTACTACCTCTCATGGGGCAAATAAACTATCTTCCTAGATTCTACGAGGTTCAGACATCACCAATAAGGAAGCACTGCAAGAAAGCAAGTCTTGCCTTCACCAGCCCCCAGTCTCTTGCCAAAGCGTGAGCAGAAAGAAAATTTTCCCTGAGACTGGAATAGTTGGGGCAGGGGGGGGCTTCCTCGGCCATGGAAAATCAGGATGTGCCTCACCAGTGACCTCTGCTGAGGTCTGCAAATGGGTCAGGTTGCAGTCATTGTGTACACTTGCTGAAGTATGTCTACTGCAGGTCAAGAGAATAAAATGAAATGAAATGCAATGAAACACAGGCACTGTCTGGGATTCCACTACAGTCTTTCAGAAAAAGACTGAGGAATGGGGAGCTTGAACATACAGACTCTAAGTATTCCTCCAAACAATTCATAACTGCTCTGTACTTGTGTGGTTTTGCCATAAGAAGATTTTATGTGACTTTGCTATCAGAATCATCCTTGAGGAATGCAGGAGTCTTTGTTCTCATTTTGTAGATGAGGAAGTAGAGAGAGAAGTAGAACATCTTGGCTGAAGTTACAAACTGAGCTGCTAACCAAATTGGACTGGTACTGGGATTTGGCCTCCAGAATTCTCTCTGGCCTACTTCTTCCCCTGTGTCCCTCCCTTCAAGGCCTCCTCTGATAGCATAGGCTCCCGGCCTCCCCAAAGGCTCCTCCACTCCTCCCGGCTTGCCTAGGACCAGAGGAGCTGAAGATTCTAGATGATGGGACAGAACACAGGTGTTCAGGTGGGTTGGGCAGAGGAGGCTCATTACTGCCCCAGAAGTGGCCCATTTACAGCAGCCCTGCCAGGAGCTGAAGGCAACATAAACCACAGAGTATGTCTTTCTTTCTTCCTTCAGTGTCAGGCTGGGTTGGTGAGCTCAGTTAGTTCACATGTTGCTTTTCTTCTACAGGAAAAAGTCAAAAGCAGATCGGAAGTATTGTGATTAGAAGACATCAAATGGGCCTTTCCTGCGCCCCATCAAGACCTGCCTCCACTCTCACTATGTCATCATTTATGACTCTTTGCCTTGTCTTAAAAATTGTTACCTCTCAGATATGTATGGGGGATGAAAGATAAAGCAAAAAGAAACTGACATTTTTTGCCCAAAAATAGATGACTGGATCAAGAAGATGTGGTACATATATACCATGGAATATTACTCAGCATTCAAAAAAGATAAACACACGCAATTTGCAGCAACATGGATGGCGCTGGAAGGGATCATGCTCAGCGAAATAAGCCAAAAAGAAAAAGAAAAATACCGGATGGTCTCACTCATAGCAGGAATCTAGAAAACTTAAATAAGGGACCAGGAAAATGAATAACTACAAGAAAGTGAAAATCAAAATCAACAAAAAACTATGAACCAGAGACACTTTTTTTGGGGGGCGGGGGGGAGGGGAGGGATTGGGGTCAGAATGGGGGGGCTGCAATTGTATGGGGAATATAACAATAAAATTTATTATTAAAAAAAAAAAAAAGAAACTGACATTTTAAATCACCAACTATGAGCTAGGAAAGTTCACACTTAAAAACTCCCAAGTGCTGTGGCTATCAATGTTTTAAATAATGGTTAATAAAACAATGGTTCAAATTTAAAAAAAAAAAATGCTACCAGCTATTGGTAAGGATGTGGACAACTGGAATGCCCATACTTTGCCGGCTGCAGTTTAAGTTGGCGTGGCCACTAGGAAACTATTAACAAAACTAATCATGTGCATCTTCTGGACTTTGAAATTACAATTAGGTTTATATCTGATGGAAATGAGTAGTCACATTGTCCAAATCAGAGGTGCAAGAATTTGCGTTTCGCGTTTGACACTCCCAAATTCGAAACAATACAAATATCCATCAATAATAGGATAAATAACCTAGAAATACTTATAAAATAGGATACTGCATATCAGTGCAAAAGAACAAATTATTGCTATGATGTGGACAAATCTCATAGACATGATATGGAGCCACAGAAGCCAAAGCAAGAGGGTACACACTGCACAACTCCGTTCATGGAATTTCAAGAACAAACAAAATTAATATATGGTGATATAAGTCAGACCAGTGACTATCTTTGGAACCCTCCAAAAGAATCTTCCTGGGGTTCTAGAAATGTTATAGGACAGGGAGAGGGGCAGCCCAAACCCCACAAACCTGCCTATTCTAAATGGGTTCTGCCATTCGCCGCATCAACACAAAACATATGAGACTTTAATGGGAAGGAACTTTAATAAAACTAGGAAACAATACAGGTAAGGCAAAGAGTCTAGTTTCTAAATGAAGCACCCAAAGTTACCCGTCCCCTCGTGGGTAAAAGTCCATCCAAATGGGATTGGCCCAGAGCAAGGCCCCAAAGCCTGACCCAAGTCTAAAGCATCTTCCAGTGGGGACCCACAGAAAAGGGTCAGAAACAACCAGACAAGCCCGGAAGGAAAAGAGCAAAATCAACATCAAGATAAAAGCTGCCATTGTCACCTCCCTATGGGTCTCACCGACATCTGTATCACCCAGTCCACGACCAAAAGACAAGCGCAGTTTCTTCACGTGTCTCTAGGCTCCATGCGCCTCCTCCAGGTCTCCTGGCTCCATCCTGCTTCCTTCCTCAGTCTCTTCTGCCGCTTCTCCTCTTCCTGCTCAGCTCCACCCGCCCTTGGGTGGGGCAGGGAACCTCCCCCTTTCCTGGGGACCACCCTGTTACAGAAATAATCTGTGTTTCAGGGGGGTGATCACCTACTATGTACATGTGTATGCACATGTGGCCACATAGACACTCTGATAAAACTTCATGAGTTGCAGTCAGGATATATGCACTGTTACACCTCAGAGAAAGGGAACAAAAAAGAAAGCTCCCTAACGCCACAAGATGGTTCTCAAATAGGGTTGCTGGTGCAGCAGCAGCAGCAGCAGCAATATCACCAGGGTACTCATTAGAAATGCAAATTCTCTGACCCCACGATGTCTGAACCAGCGAGGTCTAGTGAGCTGTGTCCCAGCAAGCCAGAGTGATTCTGATGGGTGCTAACATTCCATCCCTGCCATAGGAAGTAGATGTCATTAACCCCATTTTCCTGGCACTCATAGAGAGAAAATAACTTATCCAAGTTCAGTCAACTACAACGCTGAACTAGAATAAGAACTTGTAACTGGCTCAGTCCTAGCTTCTTTGACCCAGTCACACCATCCCCTTCTGTTGCTCAGCCAGGAGGGAGGCAAAGGGAGGTTTTGTTATATCACTTCCACTAATGATAAGAGGATTCTAACTCTGTTGTCAGGTGGGCAGACAGAACAGAACAGACTGAAGTTCAATTTCTGTGGAGAAAGGCTGCTGAGATGCATCTCTTTGTTTTTCTAATCTGGTTTGAGGCAGAAAGGATTGCTGGAGGTGAAGCTGAAGAATGAGACAGAGCCCAGGGCTTGGCGAGTCTTTTAAACTACATTTAGGAACTTGGACTTTGACCCAAGAGCAAAGTCCTTATCATCTGTCCCTTCCCCCCAAATATAAGCTCCATGAAGTCAAGCGCCACAGCTGTTTTAGTTGCCAACACATCCCCCATCCCCCACAGCATATTCCATAAAGAGATAGGAGCTAAATAGAGATTTGTTGAACTTCGATCTCTTCAAATGGATTGCCCACACCTCACCCAGAACTATCTTTTAGAAACAAATTTGGGGGACAAATTTAGAAACAACTATCTTTTAGAAACAAATTTGGAGGCAGTGAAGGGACAGCTTAGAAAGCTGGTGCAATGATCCAGGCAGCAGTGGAGGGACCTGGGCAAGGCTGGCATCCAGGAGGGTGGAGGGAGAGTACAACGATCCACTCGTCGGTCATTCATTTATTCAACCAGAAGCGGCACTTTGACAAGCAGCTGAATGTCTCTGAGTCTCAGTTTCCTACCTGTAAAATGGAGATAATAGTTTACCTCATAGGGTGATGAGAATTTAATGAGATTTCAGCATAGTGCCTGATACATGATCAGTATTCAAAAATGTTAAAATTCAAAATGTTAAATTCAAAAATGTTAAATATTGCTGTTGTCATTGTTCCAAACACAGGGTCCCAGGAGGAGGTGTGAGTTGGCCACCTAGGGAAGCTCATCTGAGCTCTGCTTGACCTTGAACCAGGAGCCCTTTTTTTTCTTTTTTCTTAGCTAGCTTATGTCCAATATAAGGGGTATGGCCTGCTGATCTGGCAGGGCCTTTACAGTGCTCATATTCCGTGAAGGCTAAGGCTTTGATCAACCCAGACAGACAGACAAACTTGCAATTACAAAAAGGCAGACATTCTCAGCCTGGAAATTTAGCACCTGCCAAATTTGGGTTTGGTGCCTGCAACTTAGTGCATTGCACCACATGGAAGCAAATTGGAAGACAAAAATGTTAACTATAATATCTATTCAAGGGTCCTTTATTAGCAGATCTATTAGAGGAGGGGGGAATCTACACATATCTGAAATATCTGTTTTCTTCTTGCAAGACAGGGAACAGAATTCAAGCTTTCAAACTGTTTATAAAGTAATCAGCATTAATTTGTTCTGTTCAGGTTTTAATTATACACTGTAGGCCATTCTGACAGGACACCACCACCGCTGAGTCTGTCAGGAGATAATTTCCCACCAGGATGACCAGTACCTCATGAATTATACATGAAACTTTGTTTCCTTGTGACTGTTGCTAAAAGATGCTGTCAGCCTCTTGAAATCTCAAAAGATCTGCAATTGTTTTTCGATAAGTCTAATTAGCAGGAAGTAGGTGGGGAGGTGTTAAGAATGACTTCCCAGTAATGTGAGATGCTGAGAGATACTGAAAGGGCCCTTCCTCAGCTGGTGACCCCAGTGGGCTGTGCATGGAGTTGGCCTCCAGGGTGGAAGTCAGGTCGGGACCCTTGCTCGGAGTAGCTGACAGGCAGCAAGATTTACACTTGTTCTCGCTGAGACCGAGCCCCTGCAAGCCAGTCAGAGACTCCAGACATAATTCTGTTATTCAAATGGGAGAAGAGTTTGATAGCTATGCTAATGACTTTTATCTGTGAAAACATAACTAATAGCTTGGTTTACATTTGCGTACATTTATGAGCATAATTTTAGCACATAATTTTATTGCACAATAAAACATAATGCAGCATTAGTCGGCTTCACCAAAAAAAAAAAAGAGAGAGAGAGAGAGATACCTTAGAATGATCTGCATGTAAACCTTCACACCGCATTTATATGACAGTATCATTTAAAATGTTGACCCATTTGAATTAATGAAAGAGTTTCCCAGTTAACAATTAGCTGCATAAGGCCATTTCCTGTAGACATAATATTTGGGGGTGATGCTTATGATTTGCTGCATAATTCATCACAGCATTGATTGCTAAAGATTGTTTTTCAATGCTGTTATTCTTGCGGTTAAATTGGATTGAATGAAGGCGATCCTTCTTATGTTGCAACTACCAGCCTGAAGCCTTTAAAGTGCAGCTCCCATTTGAGAAATGAGGAGACCACTAGGCTGAAGGGACCCTCTTTGGGCTTAAGGAGGACAGGATCTTGGAACTGACATGGGAACCCTCACTGTACAAAAGCCTTAACAGAGCAGGACTCAGAGGAGGGACACAGACGGCAGGGAAGGACTGGACCCCCAGACTGGAGGCTGGATTGCAAATGGCCATGGTGAAGTAGGGGGTAGCAATAGTTGGGATGTCATGACCTCGGCTGGGGTAACATGACCTTAGCTGAAGGCAGTCAGAAAGAATCAAAGATACTTGGTGATACTCAAGATCAAACACACCTAGTCCTTCCTATGTGACCCACAGTTTAGGTTGCACATATTTTTCAAGACTCTTTCTTGCAAAAAAAAAAATAGCACAGGTCAAGCTAGTCAAGCAAAGATGCAGCTTTTAGGCTTACATAAATGAAAAGTGCAAGGCAACACACCAACACATCATCAGAGGTTCTGATCTATCTCTCTCTCTATTGTTCTTCCTTGTTCCAGCAGCATTTTCTATTAGGCCTTGTCCAGGGGTGGGGAAGATGGTGCCAAAAGATTCAGGCTTAAGTGACAATAAAGCTCATGATCACAAATGAACTCCTGCAGGAGACTTTCCAGCCTCACATACCAAGGTTGAGGCTCCTGCTCTCCCTGAGGTGGGAATGCTGATTCCCTTGTTCAGTCTGTTAGGAATCACAAGGAGTGGGCACAGACTCTTCCCAAAAGGAAGGGAGGCGAGCAGACAAGAGAGCAGCGGCTGGCCCTTCACCAAGGGCGGTGGTGTGTAAGCTATTGGAAAGAATTACCATCATCTGGAGTCACTGGCATGGAGTGCCTGGGCTGGAGAAGGCACTCCTGAGGAGAGGGTCCAGGTCTTGACGGTGGAGAGCACATCCAGGGCACAACACAGGGGATGAGGCCATGGGGCTCTTCAACTCCACACTGAGACAAGACCTTAGGGATGGTGGCAGTTTTATGCAAATATGAGACACCTGCTTACCTTGTGTAACTTCAGAGCAAGATGAGAGAGTGGGTAGATTTAAGCAAGCAAGTAGGTAGCTCAGTAGCTAACACATAGTTGATTTTTTGTTTTGTTTTGTTTGTTTTTTTATGGAGGTCACAGGCTCTGGAGTGAGGCCGAGCTGGACCAAATTCCAAGCCTTTGCCTTTGCCTGAGCTTCCTTGGGCAAGTCATATAACCTCTGTGTGCTCGCTGCCTCTCCTGTAAGACAAGGTAGCTGCCACTTTAAATTGGGAGGACTAGATGAGATGAAAAATAACTAAAGGATTTAGCACAATGTCAGCACTCAATAAATGTTGCATTCAATAAATGTTGGCTTCTTATTATTATGGATTCATATTAATTAAGGTGTTAAGAAGCACACCATTTTGAGAATGCTTGACAGCATCTGGAAGTTAGTTTTCTTTTTTTTTTTTTAAGTTTTATTCTATTTTTTTAAAATTCCCTCCACCAAACCATCCATGCCCATACCCTATCTGACCAATTGATATCTTCACAGACAGCTAGAAGCTAAGCAGACAGACTGACCTGGGGTTGGTGAGCTCTGTGTATGAATAAATGCCAGCAGGTGAGCAGATGCTGGAAAATTCCCCTTGCCAAGATGCTGTAGGGATGAAATCAGAATCAGGAGAGAGAATGGCCATCTACTAGTGCATGTGGATGTGGAGAAGCACCTGCTAACTGCAGCCTCAAAACACAGGTATCTTTTGGTTAAAAAGGTGAGACCGAGGTGCACATGTTCTGAATTCCTGAATAATTTTAAAAAAAGGAACTAAACCAAATCAGAATGTAGGACTGTTATAGAGAAAAGAATGGACCCAGAGAACCAGAAAGTAGATAGAATATTGGGAAAGGAACACCTTTTCGAGGTAAATAGGAAAATTGAAGGTAAGTGGAAAAGAGACAGTATAGCAGCTGCAGTGACCGACAAATCACCAGCCACGACAACTCCAAGAGATGCCTCAGAACAGCGCCTAGCAGAAAGCAGACTGGACCAGTAGACTAGTGACCTCTGACTCCTATAGCCCATTGTCACAAACTGGGAGATTTTAACCAATGAAAAAGGTGTTCTCCCACAGGCCGGAAGCTACAAGTCCAAAACCAAAGTACCAGCTGGGCCACAGTGCCCCTGGACCCCTGGGAGAGACCCCTCATGGACCCTTCCAGCTCTGGTGGCTGTTGGTGTCCCTTGTGACCATGTCACTCCAATCTGTTTTTAAGCCTTTCCTCTTTTCTGACTTGGTCTTCTCTTCTGTCTGTTGTAGAGAATACATGTCATTGGATTTAGGGTCCTCTGAGATAGCCCAGGATGATCTCATTTAAAAATTTTAACCAAAATATATGTGCAGTGACCCCTTTTTCCAAAAAAGTTCCTGTCCTCAGGTTCTGGATGAACATATTTCAGGGGAGGTTACCTTTCAACATCATACAGCAGCCCACTGGCCAGACTTGAGGACATGGCAGGGGACTTCATGGGGGTGAGCTGACCTCAGGGGAGGCTGCGTTTCTCCATTTCCTGGAGTCTCTCCTGAACCGTGGCCCCCAACACCTTGACTTTGGACTTCCGTCCTCTAGGCTATGAAATACTAGAATTTCTTGTTGTTTATTTCTTCAGGAACTCAGAGTTCATATGGACATCCAGATTGGGGAAAGAGTGAAGGTGTCTTTAGGAAGAGAAATAAGATGCCAGTGGTTGCAAATTTTGCTGAATAAAGTAACCCAGGAATTTCTAAGACTAGCCATGCAATGGTAAATATCTATTAACCTCTTAGTTGAATGTTAAACTGAATATTACTGTTAGTAAAAGTGTTTATTTTTATTATAGATTTTCCTAGGAATATTGAAATTAACATTGCCAGGACGTTATCTGGCCAATCCATGAGAAATCTCACCCATGTCAATAATAGTCAAGATGACACACACCCGTCAGAGGCTTGGGGAGAGAGACCACTCTAAAACTTGCTTGTTGAATAAACCCATAGAGTCTGGGAAGCATCCTCATCTACCCTGACTGTCCAGTTCCCTGCTGCATGATATCCTACTTTAAGGGGAGAAATCTAAGCTTGAGGGTGTGCTCCCAGACTTGACATCCATATTCCTACTGAGGACGCCATTTGTAATGAGCTCCCTTAATACAATGAGTGTGATGGGGTGCCTGAAGGCAGGTGAAGGAGAGTGTGAGGGAGTAAAAGAAATCCTATCCTTGGAACCACTTCATTGTATCATCTGGCCCTTGGTCACAGGCATTATTGTTTCCATTCCATAGAGAAGAAAGTCAAGGTTCTTGGAGATCAAGTGACAGCTTTTCACAGATAGTAAGTGTCAAAGCTGAGATTTAAATCCGTCTTTTATTTTTATCTCATTGTTCTGTCTGTCTTAGATTTGTTTACAGCATAGAAGCATTAATGGTTTCACACTGGGTACGTGTGCTAGTCCCTAACTTAGACTCAGGCTCAGGCTCAGGCTGTGCCCTTGGTTGGTCTGTTCAGGGCATGTCCATGAAGCGGCCACCGAGAGAGGTTCCTACTACAAATAAACAAGCCAGGAGAGGCAGTGCAATTAATTCCCCTTAATGCGTTGATTAATTTCAAATATGAGAAATTTACAGTGTTTTCCTTAAATATCTAAAGAGGTAAGGAAGCCTGCAGGGTGTATAAAAGGAAACCAGCCGAATTCCAGGGGAACTCCTTTATTTCCAGTCCCCGCTCCACAAGATTCAGGACCAGCCATGGTTTGAAAAATTCCTGTCTTAATGGTGTTCTAAAAGCTCTTTCCCTATAGCTCCCAAATTACAGAGAGGCCCAGAAACTTCCCCACTGTGTTTATTATTTAGGCAACGGCCTTCTGGTCACCAAGTTATCAAGTCTTCACTTTTTTTTCCCTACCTTTCACAATTTCTCCTTTCTGGTCCTTTGTCCAGCCAGTTCTTCTTTGTAATTAACCCCTTTTCGTGGTTCTGGTGTGGTACAGACCAACACTTTAGAGGCCCCTAATGACGCTCACTTTGACTCCTGCTGTGCCAGGAAGATAATGGCTTGGAAAGCTTTCTCAGCACTGCTGAGTCTCTCCTGCCCAGCCCTCTGTGCCTCAGCACTGGGCAAGGTTTTGTATTAATAGATACTTGGTTTCGAAAAAGAGACAAAGAAAGGTGACTTAGCCTGTTGTGTCTTAAAGACACAAAACCCTGTAAGTGTCTTCTTGTCCCTGAGTCCAAATATCCAGTAAACTCAAGGGCACTTCTCTTAGACCCCCTAGGAGGCACAGTTCAACCCTGATTAGCCAGAATGTTCAAGAAAGGACATGGGGGAGCGAGGGGGTTTGTAAGGAATTGGAAAGTTCTAGTTTACTAAAAGTTAACCAGAGAGCTTTCTTTCAGCCTTTTTCCTGGAACACTTTGTGAAATCACACAATTCATTATAAAGTGGACTGGTGAACAGTCATTTTCCCCTCCTGAACATCTTCACAAGGGGATAGTTGTGTCTTCTTTGCTCCCAGAGCACTGAGTTTGATTCTATTAGCCCCGAGCTCAGACTATTGTTTTGTTTTGTATTCATTCTTATTCCTCTACACCTAGAGGAACACTGTCATATATTCATATACCAAAAGCAAGTTTTGGCCCTGCCATTTTTGCCACAAGGATATTTGTCGTGTCCTCCATTTGGTATATTGACCTAACCAAGGGCACAGTGAAAACACCATGGAAAGAGAAGGTAATTTGACCAAAGCAGAAAGGTAATTTGGCTACCCATGCAATAGACCAGCCCAGGGCAAGAAAGCAATTCTAGAATCCAAGGAGAATTGCTCACAACTTCCTCTAGGATTTTCTATAAATAATTATTGTAAAGCCTTTTATCTAATTCTTAATTAATATTATCTGCAAAAATGATTAACATAAAATAAAATGGACAATGAAAAATAATAGAAATGGTTACATGTAGATATACACAATTTAACCTAGGAAAATAGAACTTAATAGAATAGCCAAATCTAAATTGATGAGGCTCAAAACTGATCTATAACCCAAATCTCTATTGTAACGTTCTCATGGAAAATGAACTAATAAAAATGAGTATTGTTTTAGTACTCTACAATTAAACACCCCTCCTTTGGCCCCATGGACCTGGTTTAATTATTAGCTTAATGACAAAAAAAAAATCAAGAATTTGAATTGGCCTCAGACCTTCAGATGCTTGAAAATATTTTCACAAAAGAATTTCATCAATGTTGTTTTTTTATTAATATTTTATTTTATATAATTCTTACATCATTTTTCATTTTTGCACAATGTATTCATTTTCATTTTGGTTATATTCCCCATACAATTGCACCCCCCCTTATTTTGACCCTAATCCTTCCTCTCCCCGCCTCTCCCCCCCCTTAGTGTGTCTCTGGTGTATAGTTGCTTGTTGATTTTGATTTTCACTTTGTATTAATTTGTCTTTTTCCTGGTCCCTTATTTAGGTTTTCTAGATTCCTGCTATGAGTGAGACCATCCGATATTTTTCTTTTTCTTTCTGGCTTATTTCGCTGAGCATGATCCCTTCCAGCACCATCCATGTTGCTGCAATGTTAGCCTAATTTTGATTAATATCTATATTCAAAGTACCTGGATCAAAATGGCAGGTTGGAATAGCCTCACCTTGCTATCTCCAGTGCTTTGTCCAGAAGCTCATCCATAGAAGCCACATCCCTATCATTGCAGGCCACTGCAGGAAAGAATAGCTGGTGACAAAGGAAGCAGGTAAATCAGTATAGAGTGACATAGAGGGGGCACCCATCATAGCTTGTCATGTATCCATGTTCTTAATTAAGAAATTCAAGTTAAACCAGTGAGTGCAAATGAGAGAGAGTGGAGAGGGGAGGGGGGTGAAGAGAAGGGGAGAGACATAGCATGCCCACAAGAACAGGAGATCATGAATATATACCAGAGTTTGAAAAAAAGTTGCCGGAAATGACCACTTCCAACTCTATAAATGAGCACTTCCAACTCTACTGATTATTCTTTACAGACAGCTTGCACTCAAGAAAAATCCTTAATAAGTTTAACTTTTTAGTTTATTAATTACTGTAGTTTTTTGTATGTTTAAAAAAAACTCTCACAGGGCAGCTTCAAAAATAAAGATTTATACTAACTACTGACAGAAACTATCTAGGCAGAGAATAGGAAAATGAGGTTTTTGTTTTTTAAAATTATTTACATTTCTAGATTATTTAAAATGTTCCCAGCAAGCAGGTATTCATTTTTGTGGTGAACTCAATAAAAGATACTGAAATGTTAAAAGGATAAAAGAATGGATGGGTGGAAGCCATGGGAAGAATTTTAAGATTTTATCCTACTTTTGCACTAACGAGTTGGGACTTAGGCTGCTATGGGGAGGTGGATGCTCACAAAGACATGTGGCCCGTGTTAGCATTTGCGTCATCTCCCTAAACCACAGTTTACAGCTGAGGAAACTGAGGCATGTGCAGTGAGTAGAGAAATAGGGATTTGAACCCAGCTCATTAGGCTGTGGTGCTATGTCTTTCTACCACTCTCCTCTCCTGTGGCTCCTCAAGTTGTTCCCCAGCAACCGCTGGTTCCCAACTCTGTGCTTGGCCCACAGGGAACGGGGGTGGCCCCTGTGAGGTCTCTCTCTCCTAAGTCCACTCCTCCTTCAGTGCCAGGACTCACTCTTTGCCCTGTAGTTGCACAGGGACATTTCTGTCTCAATCAGCCACATCTCTTTTCTCCCTCTGAGTTATAGTCAATTCTGAAATAGGATGCTGGAGTCAGGCAGGTGGTTTGGTAGTTTGGAAAAGTCCATAAATATTCAGTCTCCTCTTGGCCCATTGAGTTGGGCTTGGCCCTAAGACTTGCTCTGAGGGTGCAATGTTTGCAGAGATGACACAGGTGTCATGTGCTGAGCGGCTGGCCTGGGTCCTTGTGCTTCTGCCATCACGAGGCTCCTATCCTAGGTGATCCCCTTTCCCTGGAGGAAGAAGGATGCAAGGAGAAGTCCTGAACCCCACCCAGAGTCACCAGGGTACCTACCCCAACTGGGCTAGACAATACCCAGATGACCTAAAGACAGAATAACAAAAAGAAATTGATCTTGTCATGCCCTAAATTAGAAGGTTTACTGGCAACAAATAAGATGGCCATCCAAAAACCACAATCCTAACAGGACAATAGATGTAATCCTGACATCTCCTCTTCTACCCCTACACCTATGTCCAGCCTCCTTATTACCCAGACCTGTGCCCAGAGAGGTGGTGCAGAGTCAAACACTCCAAAACTTGCAACTGGCAGCCATCCTCAGAGAAATGCCACACGTGTTGCATTTGAATCCTCAGTAACAGAAGGCTCAGAATCATTCCATTTCTATCTTTGTTACTGACAGTCTCTGGGAAAGGTAACCACCCTCTCTCTACTTCTGTGACTCAGCATTGCCAAGGCCACGGTGTCAGGGCAGGAACTGATGTCAGAATGGGGTTCCCTCTGCGGTGGGACTGCTGTCCCAGCACCTCTGCTGGCTGGCTCTTTCTAGCTACTGCTTTTCTTTTGGCTGCTGCTTGCTGGCACTGACTCCCAGATACCAACTTGATCTGTGATCATTTGATTTCCAGCTGAGAGAAAAGTAGGGAGAAAAAAAACAAAGCACTGAGGAATGCACTATTGTGTTTCTAGTACACAGAGGTTTTTCTAGAACATCAGTTAAAAGAATCCCCTTATGTGTCAGTGAGCTGTGTGATTGGTCAAGGGCTTCTGGTTTCTGGGGACTCTGGCAGGTCACCCTGTCTGTCTTAGTTTCACTCTTCTTCCATGTAGGAACCCTGATGATTCCCTGCTCTTTACCCCACATGCACGCATGTGTGGACACATGCAGGAGCTGTGGGGAGCTGCCAGTGACATAAAGTGGAGATGTGGAAGCACTTGGCAAATCACTGTCATGTACTGCAAATGCAAAACAGTAAGACAGTTCTCACCTCTGGCAACCTGGATCTCGCTTTAAAAGTCAACAAAAATAAACACAATTTCTTTGGACTAATTCTTTGACGAGAATGTCTGCCCTCTTCCATCATTCTTCCTAAAAGAATCAGTCTTCCTCTACTTGGTGTGCTCAAAAGATCACAGGTCTAGACTAGAGATAGAGAAATGTGGGTTCAGATTCTGGATAGAGCCCTAACTGTGACTGAGCCTGTAAAATGGGTCTGACAATAATGCCCCTTCAGATGACCATGAAGGTCAAAATGGACATTGGTATTGGAAGTGCTTTATGAAAGGGTAGGTATCAGAGGTCATTGTTATTTTTCAAGCATTTGTTGAGCCTATTTATGTGCAAAGGTTTTGTGCTTAATGCTCTGTGGGATGGGGGTCAGGCTCCTTTGCTGTCTTCTCAGGAACATCTGTTCTCCCCCTGAAGGCACCTCTCACCATCAGGAAGTTCCGTTCTCCTGGCTGAAAGGAGCAAGTGCGACAGAGAGTGAGGGACAGAAGGGCTCTTGAAGTGTCCTGCAACACTGCTGGGTTTCCAGAAAACTTTGAAACAGTCTGGATCTCCCCAGAGACCAAGAAGATGAGGTGTGGAAGCTGCTGCTGGGGAACAGTCACCGTCGTAAAAGTAACACTGTGAAAAATCCATTTTGCGGGTAACAATGAGAAGTTAATGCGAAGACTCATTGCCCTTCGTTAGTGAAAACTTTGGCAGCAACTTTTTCAGGCTCCCGGGAAGCCTTTGGAGATTGCTGCTTCAACCCAGAGGCACTTCATCATTTATATGAATGAAAATGAGTGCAAACAGATTGTCGGGATGTCTGTTAATATCACCTCTTTTTTCTTGCAAGGAATCCCCTCCGTAATTACATTTTGCCTGTCAGTTCATAAATTTTTCTTATTACAAACTGGCCGTTATTGATTGCTTTTTAAAAGTACTAAAACTGAGCCCAAAGCAGTAGATCTATCAGTAAATTCAAAACATACTATCTTCGGTCCCAATCACTGGCAGGAGCAAAGGGAAAAGTCTCGTGTTCGTTGTGGATGCTGAGCAAAGGCAGACCGGCCATACGTTTCAGTTTAGAAACTTGGCTTTGAGGGCTGCATGTTTTAAGCCACAATGAAAATAATAAATAAAGGATAAACTTATTTGGCAAATGCTGACACTCTGCAAGCCAACATCCTGTCATTGTTCCTTAGCTGGGTCTCCCTTCTCAAAGGGTTCTTTTTGGGGTTTCAGCATTTATGACCAAATGTCATGATGAGAATGGAGGGAGGAAGATGGTGGGGGGCAGCATAATAAAAACTTGCAGTCAAAAATTTTAAGTAACCAGTACATCATTTCCTAAATCCTTTTAAAATGAGATATTAGGGTTCTATATTTAGACCTATCTGGTTATAATGTGAAAAAGCATAATTGCAAGTGATTTCTGTATTCTGGGAGAAAGAATGGGTGTTCCTCATTGTTCAGAGTTTGAGAGAAGTTTCTAGAACATTTGGTAGTCACAGGCAAGGGAACATAGCAGCAGAGGTTACTTAGATCTTTGAGCCTCTGCTCATAGGTCTGGTCAGGGGAATAGCCAGGGGGAAACCCCAGCCTCTCCAGTCCAGCCCCCACACGGTCTCTAAAACAGTGTAGTCTACCAGCCCCCAAGCCCACTCCTTTAACCTGCCACTGTGGAGGATGGACAGGGGGAGGGAGAGCAAATGAAAAGCTGTGCACATGTGATCAGTTCCTGATTGGAGCTGAATAGAAGCAAGTAATCAAAGCAAGCTACAGCATGGTCTGAGTCCGGCTGCCAGTCTTAGATTCTGCACTGGCCAAAAGCACGCAGCAGCTACTGATCTGGCCAGGAAACAATGCCCCATTCAGCTCTCAGTATCTGTTCTTAGTATCAAGACGCAAAAGCGGGGTCCCCATTGGTGAGGAAGCCAAGCCCCGGCCAGGAGAGCAATTACACCTCAGCCAACCAAGTGAACAAAATGGGAGACATAAAAACATTTTTTAAGTGGAAATAATTTAAGGCCCTTCTAAATATCTTAACAGTGCGTCTGGCCACACTTGGGATTAGGAAACAGTATTTCATATGAGGCAGCAGGGCTTGTGTTGTGTGCATGTGCTTGTGTGCACGCACGGTTCTTTTTAGCCAGGGATCTGAGGAGAGGACTGCCTTCTGTCAAAGTGTGGCACCAACCCCTCGGGCCCCAGGTGCAAGGCATGGCATCCCTAGCATTTGGCAAGAGGGCAGGGGGAGCCTGTGATGAAACAGACCAAGTCAGGTACCTTGTCCTGCAGCTTTGAAACCCCACCCCAAGGCTGTGGATTCACCCCTCCCCTTCCCCCAACATCAGACTTAGTTTATGGGAGAATGTTGCCTTCAGAGCAAAGCCCAGGAGAAAAGCAAAGTCCCAGAACACAAAGGCTTTGGTCCTGGCCCTGGGAGCAAGGTCAGGCTGAAACTGGGGTGCCTTCTGTTTTCTGTCAGTTCCCAGATAAGATGAGAAAAGGCTGAGTGGCTGGGAGGAGCTCATAATCCCAGCAGAATCCTTCAGCCCGCCCTAATGTTGGCCTTGGCCTGGGGGCCATAAATCTGCACCACATCACGTGAGCCATGGGCCTGCTCTGCCTGGCCCGAGGGCTCCCACTTGACATCTGGGCAACTTCTCTGTGCTGAGCACTGGGGCCAGAGGAACAAGACAGGGCTGGAGGGAAGTTGAGAGCCAAGAGATGGTGACGATGACAGAAATAATGAAGAGGAGAAAACTAACATTTATAATGTCCTCACTCCTAGAGCCTTACAAATAAGTTCTAACCCTCAACCTTGTGAGACAGGTACCACCACCATCCCCGGTCCATAGGTGATGAAAACAAGGCACAGAGAGATAAAGTAACTCACACAGGTTACACAGGCAAAGTCCACATTTCAACCCAGAATGTCTAGATTTATATTTTTAAGACTTTGCCCCTAAAGTTGAGGGTAGAAAGTAGGTCGAAGGAGATTTTCTCAAGGATACTTCAAGAGTCAGACAGACATCTCCTAGGACACGAGTCCAGTTTGCTAACACTCAGTGGACTCTGCACAGGGGAAAAAAAAAACACCCTGACTCTCTCTTGGAACACTGGGTCCTTCTGCTGTCTACACAGAGTGGCTCAGAATCCAGGGGATGAGAAGAGTTACTCAGGGTGTGGTTCCTAGATAGTATCATCAACTGCTTCTGAGAAATGCACATTCTCATGCTCTCTGCAGTTCTCCTGAAGCAGAAAGTCCCCCAAATGACTCCCAGGCCCTCTCAAGTGTGGAAAGCCTTGGTATAGAACATACAAGCCAGACACACCCCTGAAGGTGATGTGAGTGAGCTGTCTAAGGCAGAGAAAGTCAGTGGAGAACCTGTGACAGTGTCTTGCCTGGACCTGGCCTGTGCGCTTGTGCCGCAGTGAGGTGGGGCTGTGGCTTCTCCCTGCTCCTCAGACTCAGCTGATGATAGGAGGCAGTCATGGCTCCCCAAAGGTCTTCCCACAGCTGATCCCCTAAGGCCCCCTTTCAAAGGCAGCCAGCCTCTGATTTCCATATCAGCATTTAATTAAGGAAGAGTGGATCGGAAAAGTCTCTGACGCCTCCCTCAAACACCTCAATTCCAATTTTCAAGGGGCCTCTCTTATCCTATTTCTCAAAAGCAAAACCTCAGGACAGATGCCTGACTGGTCTCCCTCTCCCCGCCAGGAGTCTCCTTCAGGAACGAAATAAGTCTTGGTGGAGGGAGAACAGAATTGGAACTCCCAAAGACGTGAGTTTTACTACTCACCACCCGTATGACCTTGGGCAGGTGCTTAACCCTTCTGGGGTATATTTTGTGCATCATCAAATAGATTGAAAATGTCTATTTCATCAGTTGATGAGATAATAGGTACCTAAAACATTGTTCCCTTCCCACAGCATCTTCCATCACTGGCCACCAGTACTTGAACACAAACCATGTGGGAAGGACACAGATGAAGCCAAACCAGAACATGATTTCCTGGGGGCAGGAGACTCCAATCCTATGGGGAATTCTCTGGGGGTGGGGAAGTACAAAGAGACAGTTATCACTTAGGGGCCTTAGACATTCCACCTGACCCATTACATTCCTGTCCTGTATTGACTGAAACCACAGCTCAGGACTCTTCTGGCTCACACTAAAGCTGATGGGTATAGCTAGGACCCAGGAGCATATCTCCCTTCCAGGGTCCCAATGGCCCTGGGATGGTGATCCAGACCAGACCAAAGGAGACACAGGAGAGGCTAAGCACCAGAGTCTTTTGCTTCTGGGATTAGAGTCTGCAGCCCCTACATGTTCAAGTTCTGGGTTAGCATCATCCTCATCATCCCCAAATGCCTTCTGAGCCATTGCTTCTCACATCCTGGACCAACACAGTAAAGAGGACCCTAGGAAGGCTTT